GTGTGTGTGTGTGTGTGTGTGTGTGTGTGTGCGTACGAGCTTGTGTGTGTGTGTGCGCGCGCGTGCATGCGTATTATGAGTGTGAGTGTGTGAACGTAAAGAAGACGGATGAAATAAATCCCTCCTATTTTTCCGTTGCAGGCAGGTCAGGTAAACTCGGGTGAGTTCAAATCTGTCTACCTGAAGGCAATTCTGGCAAAACTCACATTCCAAAGCGAGTAGTGAAACGGAGCAAAGCGTCGTGAGAAGGTCTAGCTCAACACGCTCGCTCATGATTGAAAAAACAAATGTGAAAATCCCAAACTTTCTCTTCATCAAGGTTAGGGTGACCTTGTTTTGCTCTGTCATTCTGTTTTTCTTTTCATTATCGCCCAGGCGGTGAGGTCCTTTCATTGTGTTTTGGTTTGTTTGTTTTAGTAAGGTTTTACGGCGCTCGCAACTGCATACGGTCATCATATATGAGCCCCAAGGGGTGGATGTCAACAGAGAAGTCCAAACTGGGAATCAGGCTTAATCTGCTCACCTCTCTTGCCTCAACAGCACAAAGCACCCTTCGACTATCAAGGCAACCCCGAAATAGCAGTTCACAAGAGAGTGGCGAACATACAAAAGAAGTAGAGGAAAATGACGATAGTAAGGATGAGGAAAGGAAAGGCAGCAGTTCCCCCTGTGTTGTTCCGGCACAGAATGAGCAAGGCTCTGACAAAGCCCATTTACATTCTTCTGTGCATAAGAACTTGTTAAAATCCCCCCTTTGGAATGGCCTAGAGACAACTTCAGTCAGTAGCTGTTTTGGTTTGGAATGAGTTTTATATCCCTTTCAACAATATGCGATTAGATATTGAGAGTTGAATTTAGTTACAACCCATCCCCGATAGGAAAAGGCTGAGTACGCGTAGAACACTGGAAACTCCTAACACAATCAAAATTTAAAAAATGCCCCATCGAAAAACCACATCACAGCCCGGCATTATACCAACTGGGTTTGTTTTAGGCGATGTTTTCTTAACCAATGAGCTGTAAACAATTCTTATTCTTCATTTTAAGAATTATGCAGGCATGTAAATCTTTGTCCTTCTATAGAATCGAACTGTTCAGTTTGTTTTTGTTCATTCGCGTCACCTTTTACGTTGTCCTTGTTTCTGTCTAACAAAGAATGTTATTTTTTCAGATGCATAATATGATTTCCTAGGCAATTCTTTTACCAGCTTAACGTTCTAATTATCTAACATTCATCATGTTGATTGCCCAAGTGAATTCATTTGAGACCATAATATTATTGCTACATTATTTTATGTCAAACATGGTGCCGATATGTTCAATGCACAGTCGAAGCCCAATAGATAACCTTAGGCGTGTGCTTCTTGTATCGTTATCTGTCTCCTGGGCGTGGCGTATTTTCTCAAAGTAGACTTTAAGTTTTGACAAAATTCAAAATATTATAGATCTATTATGTAACGAGTTGGGCTTAAACTCTTAAATATGGCGGCCTTGTACTCTACTGTTACCATCAATTTCTAACATCTCTTGACTTTTTCTTCTTTGACATAATTACAACAGAACAACTAACACAGACAGACTGACTAACCTTGCAATAGCTGCTCATAGGTCAGTGTCTCTCCAGTTTTCCTGTAGATATCCAGAACATCTTGTTTCAAAAGGCTGCCTTCGTCCAACACTTTAGTGTTCAACTGGTAGAAATCCGAATGTTGTGTGTACACCTTCTCAAGAGCTTTGCGTGAGGCTGGGTTCAAATCCTGACGCTTGAAGTCTTCCTCCTCAGTTTCCACCTGCTTCTTTTTTCGCTGTCCATCTCCGACCTGGAAGAACATCAATCATAATATTATGTTAGTCAAGCGAAGTCAGTTTTGTTTGAGCATAAATTTAGTGCCCTTCTCCACTGCAGAGATCATTTTGTGGCGAAGACGTAGGCCCTATATTTAGTAGGTTCAAGATGAAGGAAAGCGGAAATACAGAAGGTGTTCTATTGTAATCAAATACGACGCAATTCATACTTGTTTAAACTACCCACTCTCTGAAACATAATACACATACTATTGTGTTCAAGCACGAAGCATTAATACTTCATATGATATATGAAAACTGACAAGGAAAGTCAAAACAGATTAAATCTAAGTGAACTCCACTAAGAAATTTACGCAGGGGCTGAAAGTTCAAAGTTTGAATTCAAAAAGTGTCCACACCTTCCTCGAGCGGTGATTATATTATCTCTTAGAAGCTTTGTTTACGGAGCATGTGCCCCACTTTTCAAATAACATAATTTCTGTGTAAGTGGGACATCGGACTCCAAGGAAACAGATCAAAGTGTAAGCTCAATGTCCGTGGCTCCCCGGGAAGACGTGCTTTGATCCCCTCGGCGGGAAGTCCTGACTTAGTGAGTATAAGCTGATTAGAAAACACTATCTGAAAGGACTAATCGTGAAGGGAGGCTCGTGTGGACCGCTGAATGGGAGCAGGAAAGAGATAGAGGGGAGAGAAAGGGGGAGAGGGGGAAGAAGAGGGAGAGAGAAAGAGAGAGAGACAGAGAGGGAGAGAGAGAGAGAGAGAGAGAGAGAGAGA